TTGGCTGGGCAAGGTAGCGGGCGCCTGTAATCCCAGCTACTCGGGCGGCTGAAGCAGGGGAATTGCTTGAAGCCAGGAGGCGGAGGTTGCAGTGAGCCGAGATCGCGCCACTGCAATCCAGCCTGGGTAACAAAGAGCAAAAACTCCATCTCCAAACAAACAAAAAATGCTTCTTTCTGAGAAACCGGATTTGTCTGCCTCTTTCTTCGACCTCTCAGCCCCTGTAGCTTCTGGTTTGCATAGACCTGCTCACCATAGGTCTGATGCCATACAGTACTTCAAGGAAGAGGGGAAAGGTGAGGTGGGGCCCAAGGAATCGTCAGGGACAGGCCACAAAGGGTACTGACTTGGCACCATTTATGAAATTCAGCCAAGCCTGGCCTGTGCCAGGCATTCCACGCAACAGGCATTCCAAATGTGGTCCCTCCACTGAAGAGCCAAGAGTCAAAGACAGAAGAAAAAAACCTGTAAGGCCTTTGAGAGGAATGATTTGGGGACTTGGAGTCACAGGGACCCTGGTTCAAATCCCAACTCTGCTTTCAACTCACTGTGATCTTGGGAAGTCGGTTTGTCTCTGAGTCTTGACTTCCCCATCTGTAAAAGGGGGCTAGGATCACTGGTCTGCAGAGTCACTGTGAGGAGCCCAGAACCATGGGTGCTCAGAACTTCGTGGGGCGTAAAGAGAGGGCGCGTGGGATTATTACTGCTACTGTTAGTCTTAGCCGGCCACCCTGTCTGCCTCTTACCTGAGACAGGAGGCAGAGCAGGATTCTGAGAAGTCCCCTGCCCCAGTACCCAGAACGGGCTCTGGGGAGGAGGATCTGCAGACCCCTGTGCCTAGTCTGTATGCAGGTCACCTGCCCCTAGTGTGCATCCCCTCAGCTGCCCACCCTGAGTCTCAGGTCGAGCCTGCCGGACAGCTTCCTCTACTTCCCCTTTGCCCAGTGACATGCGCCTTATGGGGGCGGTAGGGACGGGCACTGGAGAGGTAGATCTCTTGGCTGACAGGGTGGAGGCCAAACCCAGCTGGGACAAGGTCCAGGCCTGCTCTGCAGATGTGGCCACTGCAGCTGCTGTTTGGTAAAGAGCTGTGGGTAGGGGACTGGGAATAGAGAGGAAGAGGGGCTGCCATTCCTGGAAGGCCAGGGTCAGGGTCCCAGTGCTCTTAAAACCAGTAACCCACCCTAGGTTTGAGCAACAGGAACTTGGGGCCAGCACAGAGAAGGCAACAGGCAGCAAGAGTCTCAGTCTTCAGCCTGCAGGGAGGAGCTCCACACAGGTCTCGAACTCCTGACCTCAGGTGACTGGCCCACCTCAGCCTCCCAAAGTGCTGGGATTACAGGTGTGAGCCACTACATCGGGCACATTTTTTAATTAAAAAGAGAGAGAGTCCGGGCGCGGTGGCTCAAGCCTGTAATCCCAGCACTTTGGGAGGCCGAGGCGGGTGGATCACGAGGTCAAGAGATCGAGACCATCCTGGTCAACATGGTGAAACCCCGTCTCTACTAAAAATACAAAAAATTAGCTGGGCATGGTGGTGCGTGCCTGTAATCCCAGCAACTCAGGAGGCTGAGGCAGGAGAATTGCCTGAACCCAGGAGGCGGAGGTTGCGGTGAGCCGAGATCGCGCCATTGCACTCCAGCCTGGGCGACAAGAGCGAAACTCCGTCTCAAAAAAAAAAAAAAAAAAAAGAGAGAGAGAGAGAGAGAATAGCTATAAATGTGTGGAACTTTGACATAGATTATCCCATTTAATCCTCACAACAACTCTCTGGGTGTCATGAGGAAACTGGGACTCCAAGAGGTTAAGGGACTTTCCCGAAGTCACATCAGATTCTGCTGCAGGCAGTCTCATTTCGAGCTGGAGGGGCGAGGGCTGGAAGCTGGGCTGCAGAGGTCACAGGGGCTGGACGAATGGTAGACCTGCAAGGCCCTGGGACCCGGAGCTGAGCTCTGAGGCCTCAATCCCGTAAGGTGCAGGGCCCAGGCCGGCTGAGGCCTCCAGCAAGGAGTGCCTAAACAAATGGCTTTGGCAGGCCAGCATCTTCCTGGACACCTGGTACTGCCGTGAGGGGGCTCTCATCTCTGAAGAGTGGGTGCTCACAGGTGCCAACTGCATTGACAGGTTGCATGGCCAGGAGGCGTGATGAGGGGGAGCTCCCGGAGGGTGCCCCCCCCACCCTCTCCACCTCTCGACCTCCCCTTTGTCTCCTCCCTCCACAACTGACCTTGGTCCCGCTTCAGTGTGACCTTGAGTCCAGGTCAACTGCAGATGGACTCTTGTGAGATCAAGTCTCCATGGCGAGCTACTCTTGTCCTCAGCAGGGCCTGAGGGCTCTGGGTTTGGTGGCCTGGCCCTGGCATGACTGGCAAGGCCTCCTCCGTCACTCACCAGCACTGAGCAGCCTGTCTCCCTGGCTGCCCAATCCCACTGTTTCCTCTTCCTGAGACAGCTCTGCTGGACCCAGGAGTTTGAACCCGATTTCAGTAAGGGTGGGAGCAGAAGCCTGGGATGATTGAGAGACTTGGGGAGGCAGGTGGCCAGGGTGGAGCTCGGGACCCTGCAGGGGCTCTGGCCAGCTGCCCGGCTGCACCATGGCCACGGGCATGCAGGGGAGAGGGCTGGCGCTGACACCTGGTCTTCTGGAGCCGGCTTCCAGCCCCACCGCTGCCCAATGACTGACAGCCCCACCTGCCCAGTGCACTGGAAGCTTTCCTGAGGGGGCTGTGTGGGAGTGCACCAGAGGACAGAGTTGTCCTAAGAGTGACATGGGAGTGCGGAACGTCTAGGAAGACAGAGCCCAGGAAGGCATCTGGGGGCAGGGAGACTTGGCACAGGCAGGGAAGCTCGGCAATATATGGTAACAACCAGCATGGCTGGGCTGGTGCAGGCCTGCTGGATGCCAGTCAGGCTGAGGGTCTGTCCCACCGCGTGCAGCAGAGTGTCCTGCTGGGACCGCTACACGTCAGCATCTGCAGAGATGACTTTCTCCCCCAACTGACTGTCTGGACTTGAAGGACAGCCTGCCCAACGGCTTCCAGTGCACCAGGCTCTGCACTGGGCCCCCTGAACTGGGGTAAGGATTCCAGCAGGCCCTATGCAAGCCCTAAGACCCCCTCCCTCGAATTCCCTTCTAATGCCAGTAGACTTGTTAAAGTTAGGCCTGGTCATCCTCCCATCCTATCCTGGAGTCTCCCATTCCCCAGCAACCAGCGGTCAGGCTTGTTTGCACCCCTGAAGGCCACCCTAGAACTTCCTACCCCTTGGAGAGACTCCCCCGTTATGTCCTATGGAATGTGGGGCAGCCTTTGGTATAGCCAGGTCTTAAACTACTGGGACTCAGTTACTCAATAGTTACAAGCATTTTGCTGAAAACTAACTTTTGTGTAATATTGAGCCTCAAAGGCCAAAAGGAGGAAAGAATTGGGTGAGACTGATAGAATGCGTGGGAGAAAGCACTTTCACTAGAAAGAGACGGACAGAGGGGTGGAGGAAGGGAGTATGACCCCCCTCCAAGAGGGGAAATGGGCTCTGGGTGCAGCACTTGGGCCCCCAGCCCACCCGCCCCCAGTCCTCCCACTCCCTCCACCAGCTGGTCTTGTCAGATGTGTGAACCTGATTACCCACTGCCCGCCTCCCCTGATCAAATATCTTCGCTCACCAGGCAGGGGGTGGTTCAATGGGGTGTGGGCTGGGCTGAGACTGCTCCTTTTCTCCCTCATGCAGGTGGCTGATGGGACCCCCCCCCCCACAGTCTGCTCCCAAGCTGGCAGCTGGCTGCTGCAGGTGTGATGACCTGGGGTCCCTGCTTGGAGCCTTGCCTCCCGGGAGTCTACACATCTGTGAATTCCTTCATTTCCTGGATCCGAGATAACATCTCCAACGTCTCATTTGACACCTCTGCCAACAGATGCTCTTGGGACTGGCCCAGGATAAGACAGAGGCAGTGAAGGTTGTTAGCCTCTGGAGTCCTGCCTGGGTTCGCATCCTGACTTAGCTACTTACCTGCCTTTCCCATCTGAATCTGTTTCTTCCTCCTTAAAATGGAGATGTCTTCAATTACTCATTTATTCAAGAAGTTAGTAGTTACCAAGTGCTTACTATGTGACAGGCCACAGAGATACAAGACTGACTCGTGGAGCGGGCAGTCTTGTGAGGGAGGCAAGCATTAGGCCGAATTATGACCGGAATAAATGTGCAAACACAACCAACGGGGGCTCTAAGAGAAACGGATCCACGTGTTCATGGAGGCTGTGCCCTACTCGGGGCGTTCAGGGGGTAATTGACATTTGAACGCGGTCTTGACAGATTCGTCGATTCTGGCTAGCAACTCCCCTGAGCGCTAGCTGACTGGGGTGCCAGGCGCCTCCCACTGCAAGCCTCCGTTTCCCCAGCTTGGCACTGAAAAGCGATGACTTGGATGTAAGAATTCTTGAGGTCCCTCCCAAGTCTGTTTAATAAACTTTTTCGAGGGCGAGGGTCTCCAAGCCGCAAGGGCGCATCCCCTTCACCTGTTTGGACCTTGCGTGACCCCAGGTGGGGAGCCTCTTCCAGCGTTAACCCGGGCAGCTATGGTCACGCCGCCCGCGCTCCGCAGCGCCTCCCTCCGCATCCTCGCGGTGGGGCCACAGCGACATCTAGTGACTGAAGGTATTTTTAACACTCGGCTTGCCGCTGGCCTGAATCAGGGACGCTGCTCCCCAGAACTCAGCTATCTTCCGCCTCCGCGCTTGGTGGGGAGCCGGGCAGAGTCAGAGTGAACACGCATTCCCTGCGGTGCAATTGAGTCGCGCGGTAGGGCTGGCTTTTTCCGACAGCTCAACCCTCCCGCCCCAGGTCTCTCGGTCCCAGCTGCCTCAAGGACGGGTGGGGCCTCGGTGTGGAGCCCCGCCCCTCGTGCCCAGCCGCGCACAAGCCCCGCCCCCTTACGACGGCGCGTGCTAACTGCGCCTGCGCGTGTTACACACACACACACACACACACACACACACACACACACACACACACACACTCGCGCGGCTTTCGCGAAGGTGTCGCTGCCAGGAAACGTGTCCCGCGCGCCACGCCGTCTGTTTCTAGGGCAACGCCGGCGTCTCTTAGCAACCGCGCGCGGCCTAGGTGGGTTCCCCCGGAACCCCCATCCGTGCCATGACGACCGCGAGTCCTAGCGTCTTTCTACTGATGGTCAACGGGCAGGTGGAGAGCGCCCAGGTGAGCGGCCGTGGACCCCGCCGGGGCCCGCCCCCCAGCGTCCCCCGGGGCCCTTCCTGCAACCCCGTGGGCTGCCCTATGGCCCCCGGAGAGCCACGTCATTCCTCTGAGTCTCTCCGTTAGGCGGGAGAGGGAAGCCCCCATTGGAGGACTTGGCGCGAGGTTTTCGGGATCCTGAGTTCCGATGTGCAGGTGTAGAAGCAGACCTCGAGATGTTGAGGTCACACTCGGCCAAGCCCGTGGCCCCTCGCACGGATCATGCCCACTTGGTTGAGTCACTGGCAGGAGCCTCCCGGGGTGTAACGCGAGGAGCCGAGGCTCGGCCAGTTTCCGGCATTTGCTCAGTTTCGGGTGCCCAGCTACTGCCCCGCGTTCTGAATCTCCAGATCCGTGAACTCGGGTTCGAATCCAACCATCCAACGATGGTGGTGGCCTGGAATGCCCCAGGGAAGGTGTGCCTGTCAGGCCCGAGGGACAGGACGCTACTCTCCATCCCCCTACACTTTAGAGAAACCATTTATTGTAAACAAAAACCAACGCTCACCAAGTCCTCAATATGTGCCAAAGTCAGTGCTCAGCACTGCTTATTCCATCCTGACAACCTTGCCAGAAAGGCACTACTAACACCCCCATTTCACAGCCGGGGAAACAGCCAAAGCAACTGGCCTCTCTGGGAATTGAACCCACACCTGTCTGACCTCAAAGCTTCGCTATACTGTCCTTCCAGGTTATTGGAGATGGTGTTTATTACTGTATTACTGTGAGGTGTGACTGAGACGGTTTGGGTAAGGCTCTGATCGGGCCTGATGCTTTGTTGGTGTCTCCTGCCTTCCTGTTTCATCAGGGATACTGCTCCACGCTCCCACCCTGTCCGCCTCTGCCTTAGCCTAGTGCCTAAGACCGTCTTTCTCCCCTCTCCTGTTCTATCCCATTAGGGGCTCTTGGCTGGGCTGAGTCACATGTGTCTGTGCTCTCAGCATCATCAACCCCCCCCCACAAACACTCACACTCACACTCACACTCACAATGTTCCTCCCTGCTCTGCTCTCAGCACCTCCCTCTTTTCAGGGCCTCAGCTCCAGCTTTGCGTATGCCCTGTGCCTGATGGCTTCCTGGGTTCTCAGACCTTTCACTTTAACACCATTCCCTTACACTAGTGGTCCTCAGCCTTTTTGGCACCAGGGACTGGTTCCGTGGAAGACCGTTTTCCCACAGACAGGATGTGGCGAGGGAGGGTTTGGGGATGCCCAGCCCTGTGCCGGGCGATGGGGACACAGAAAGGCATGAAATGTGTTCTCTGCTTATGGTCTAGAGGAATTGACAGACTTAGGCACAGGTAATCATTGCTTTTATGGAGGGAAGCACAGGGCTACAGGAGCCAAGAGGAGACCTTAAACCAGCCCGAGGGTGAGAGCAGTCTCCCTGAAGGGTACGTTTTGAAGTATGAGCAGGAGTTTTCCAGATGAAGAAATAGAAAGGACAGATCAGACAGAAGGCAGAGCCTGAGCAAAGCCTGGGACTCTCCATGGACTCCCACATCTTGGCCCTCAGCCTCTCCTCTGAACGCCAGGTCCACATCCCCAGCTGGCTCTTAGACCCAATCCCAGGTGCCTCGAGTGCAGAATTCCTCTTGGCTGCCCTTGTCTAGCAAACGCATTGGCCTCAGCGTGAATACCAGTTGACAGACTCTGTGCTTTTTTCAGTTTCCAGAGTATGATGACCTCTACTGCAAGTACTGCTTTGTATACGGCCAGGACTGGGCCCCCACAGCGGTAAGCTGGACTCCTGGGCCTCCCTTACTTACCACCTTCATGATTTTTGTGGTTTCTCAAGGTGTCATACGCTTCCCCTCCCCATTCAGAACCAGTTGAGAGGTAGACACCGAGTTCAGGGGACCCACACATGAGTGTTCCTGGTAAGCTGGAGCAGAGGACACAGCCACGGTTGGACCCCCTGATCCATTCCCTAAGACCACTCACACGCCCTACCCTGTGAGCTTGCCCGGGGCAGCAAAGAGCAGCGCCTGCAGCAGGGGGCTGGCCCTGGTGAGCCAGCCTGGCCGTGGCTGAGCTGTGGACACTCTGGCCAGTCTGCTCACCATTTGGCCTCTCTTTAGCCAGTGGGGAGGACACATGTTCTTGTTGGGGGGAGTGCATATTCTAGGATGTCAGTGAGCCAGAAGTGCGGTGGGGAGACCAAGCCAGGAAGTGACAGGGATGAGCCATGAGAGGGAGGCTTCGATCTCACTAAGGCCGCCAGGGAGGGCCTTGCCAAGAAAGCAACTTTTGAGTAAAGACCTGAAGGAAGTGAGGGAACAAGCCATGGGGAAACCTGTGATAAGTGTCCGGGCAGAAAGCAGAGAGTACAAAGGCCCTGGGGCAGGAGCGCGCCTGGCATGTTTGAGGACCAGCAAGGAGGCTGTGTGGCCCCTGGAGAGCGAGCCAGCAGGAGAGCAGCCGGAAATGGAGCGGGGAGGCACCAGGGCAGATCTTGTAGGACTTAGAAGATCAGAGCAAGGACTGTGACCTTTACTTAAAGGGAGTGGGGTCCCCTTGGAGAGCTTTCAAAGAGAAGAAAGTGATCTGACTTATGTTTTTAGAAGATTCCCTGGCTTCTATGACACGGATAGACTGCGGGAAAGGGCACGAGCAGGCAGCACAGTTGGCTTTGACAGCAGTGCAATGAGAGAGGAGAGCAGCAGCAGTGCGGTGGCGGGAGGGCTGGACTGCACGTACACCCTGGAGATAGAGCCGCGGGGCTCTTCTGATGGATGTGGGGTCTGAGAGAAGGTGGAGTTAGGATTCACAGCAGGGCTTTTAGCCTGAGCACTTCCAAGTAGGGAGCTGCCTTTCAGTGAGGAGAGCAGATTAGGGAGTGCTACCTGGAGCTCAGCCTGGTGTGGGTTAAGGTTGAGGCGCCCACTGGATGTACAAGAGGAGGTGCTGATCCACAGTACAGAGGCAAGGACCAGGATGGAGACAAATTTGGGAACCTTCAACATCTAGAGCACGTCGAAAGCCATGAGACAGATGAGATCACCAAGTGCAGGTAGAGGAGCCGGCCAGAGATGCAGCCTTAGGATGGCACACTGAGAAGGAACCAGCAAGAGCCACCAAGCAGGGCCACCCTGTGCAGTGGAGAGACCCAGAAGCCAAGGGAAGGCAGTGTATCAAGGAGGAAGCAACTGTATCAGGTGCTCCTGATGGCTCAAGTAACACGAGGACGGAGAAATGACAGTTTTGCATCTGGCAATGCTGATCACGGGCATTATTGGAGAAAACCCTTTGGCAGAATGCTGGAGCCAGCAGTCACATTGGAGTGGGGTCACAGAAAAATAGCAGGGGCGGGGCCCTGTGCAGTGGCTAATGCCTGTAATCCCAGCACTTTGGGAGGCCGAGGCAGGCAGATCATGAGGTCAGGAGTTTGAGACCAGCCTGACCAACATGGGGAAACCCCATCTCTACTAAAAATACAAAAATTAGCCGGGCACGGCATGCCTGTAATCCCAGCTACTCAGGGGGCTGAGGCAGGAGAATCACTTGAACCCGGGAGGCAGAAGTTGCAGTGAGCGGAGATCCCTTCACTGCCCTCCAGTCTGAGGCGACAGAGTGAGACTCTGTTTAAAAAAAAAAAAAAAAAAGAAGAAGAACAGCAGGGGAGAAATTGGAACTGGTGAGTGAGGCAGTTCTTGGAAGCAGTTTTGCTGTAACGGGAGCAGAGAATGGGTTGGTGGGTGGAAGAGGCAGCAGAGTTGAAAGATGACTGTGTGATGGACAAAATACATCTGTGTGCTTACCAATGGGGATGCTCAGATGCGCGTGGGGATGCAGGGGAGTGCAAGCACTGCTGGGCCATTTCCTTCAGTGGGGCAAGAGCTTGGGACCAGATCTAGCGCCCTCGTGCCTGGGAGAGTGGCTGGCCTCCCAGGGTTGTCACACATGCTACCACATTGCAGTACCACACTTAAGAGGTACTCCATCACTTCTTAGTCCCCTTTGCTTGGAAGCTCGTGTCTTGGGAGAAGATAGCTGAGAAAACAGCCCTCCCAGCTGCCTGCCGAAGGTAATGGAGGGGCCACAGCAGCTTGACTCTGATCTGACCCAGCTGTCTGTCATTGTCCCCACAGGGTCTGGAGGAGGGGATCTCACAGATCACATCTAAGAGCCAAGATGTGCGGCAAGCACTGGTGTGGAACTTCCCCATTGATGTCACCTTTAAAAGCACCAACCCCTACGGCTGTGAGTCTGCAGGGGCCCTGCAGGGTAGGGTGGCAGAGCTTTCACACAGCACCCCCAAGATGGCCTCTGCCTCATCCAGCCATGACTGTTCACATTCAGATTGTCACCTGGGCTCTTGAAGCAGCCCTCAGCGCGCTCTCTCGCCATCTGTCCCTTTCCCTCCTCTTCCTCATCTGCATTCACCCCAGTTCATCTGCTATGGGCTGTGCAGCTGGCCTTCTGGAAGTTCAGAGTGGATCAGGGCCAGTGACCATGCCTGTAAAAGGCAGGCCCCTCCCTGGCATGCAGGGCTGCAGCTGTCTGGCTTGGAGGTCTGACTCCGTGCCTGTTGACTTCCTGTGGCCTGCTGTGTTCCGACCAGACCCTGGCACTTGCTCCTCCTGTGCTAGCCCCTCAAGTTCCTTTATCTGAGCTTCATTCATGTTGATCCCTCTCTCCGATACCTTTCCCATGTCCTACCTCCAACCCCTTTCCCAAGGGCTTCCTGGCTGGCATTACTTATTTTCTACCTTGGCTGGTGCTTATTAACCATGCTGCTCTTCCACTTGCACTTAATAAGTGCCTACTGTACACAAAGCCTGGGCTTAGTCTCCATGGGGACGATGAATACTTTCCCTATGTGGACTCATCTGAGCTTCCCAATCATACCTGGTGGATAGATTTCTTTCCATTTCTTTTCCCATATGAGGAAACTGACACTCAAAACTGACTTCACTTGCCTTCTGCTTTACATCTAGTGACCAAGTGTGGATTTTCATTCAGGGCTCTCTGATTTCACAATCTAGGCCTTTCTGCTGCATGTGGCCTGGGCCTAGGCTCACCACAGTGTTGAGGGTCAGGAGCAGAAAATGCCTGGTGGTCCTCTTGGGCAGGGAATTCCATTCTGCTGTCATCATCTATGAATAGGAAGCTGCAATCGACTTCCTGTAACAGTGCAGTAAGTACTGTAGGAACTCGGCCAACGTCCTGCTGAGGACAGGTAGGAGAGGTAAATGAAATACACAAAGGCAAAAACAAAGAGCACCTACCTCAAAGGTATCAGAGATCTAGTGAAGTAGAAGAGATTTACTGGGCAAGATCCAGGAGAAGAACAGAAATCCAGAGGTTACCCCCATCCCATCTCCCCTGGGAGAGTTTGCTGATTCCAACAGAGGTGATTGAGAGACTGATCTAGACTTTTGACAGCCTCTCTGGGCCCAGGACACACACAAAAAACTGATGTTCAGAGCCCTCCAAGGGGTTGGGAGGAGGGCCTCAGGTAAATCTCTGCAAACTGGGTTAAGACCTCAAAGAGCTGCCCTAGGAATAAGGGAGAGATGGAAGCGGAGCAGTCTCACAGGGATTGCAGCCTGGCCCCAGATAATTTCAATCTCCTGATTTTTGCATTCAGCTCCAAGATTGTTACACCCGAGGCACCTGGCAAAAGCAAATAAGAAACCTCTTTTGGCTGGGCATGGTGGCTCATGTCTGTAATCCCAGCACTTGGGAAGCCGAGGCAGGTGGATCACCTGAGGTCAGGAGTTTGAGACCAACCTGACCAACATGGAGAAACCCTGTCTCTACTAAAAGTACAAAATTAGCTGGGCATGGTGGCACATGCCTGTAATCCCAGGTACTTGGGAAGCTGAGGCAAGAGAGTCGCTTGAACCTGGGAGGCAGAAGTTGCAGTGAGCCGAGATGGCG